TGCGGTGCTGCAATGTTGACTCCCGTGATGTTCCAGAGATTCGACTGGAGTTGCTGCATCCTCTTCTGGTCCTTTTCCTTTTGCGTGTCGGCAAATTTTACGACTAATGGCGACGAACAGCCCTGAAAATTGTACGGTGCATTGATGCTACGTAATCAGAAACGATATGTGCAATGTAAATAACATTAAATGGTATTAATATTAAGAATCAATGTTTCAGAACAAAAATTACGGACGAATAAAATACTAATGTGATTCACAATATTTGGGATAAATGAGTTCCGATTTGTAATTAAAGAGTTACACTAATTTGAAAATTATAGAAAAAGTAGTCGTTTTTAGAATTTCGACAGAAAAGGGTTACAAATACAATTAGGGGAACCCGGGGCATAACGGGAACGCTAAGGTTAAAATTAATTTTAAACAAAATGAAAATACATGAATGAATTATTTTTTTACGAAAATATTCTTTGAAATGTCTACTATAAGAAAAAAAATGGTTTTACTGTGATAGAATAGTTTAAAAGGACGAAATTTTTATTTTATTGAGACCATGACTTAATCTGATTATCATTTTATGCGGGGCATAATGGGACTCCTCACAAAACTTATATATTTCTTATACATTAATGTTTAAAACTTATTAAAAATGATTTTTTAAATACGCAATAAATATACTAATGTAGTATTGCATTTTAATAATAATAATAATTTATTGATAGCACTTATTATCACATCTGCATGAAACATTTTAAGAACAGGTGCAAATATGTGTAACATCTTCATTGTTGCTCATTGTTCCTTTCAATGTTGCTGCTAATTTTCAATTTTTTGTTGAGACATGCTCCGTTAACTTAACACTTGCGAGTCAACTAATAAGAAGAGGTTACCTATTGTACCATTATGCCCCACGGCCTAATGTCCCGTTATGCCCCCAAATGTACCTTTACACTAAATAAATACAAAATATCATTGATAATCAATATCTGTGCAGAAATACTTTACTAAAGTGACTAGAAAAGATTGTTGAATAGCGTAAAATTACTTATGGTAATAAAAAATAGAATTTTATCATTGTTATCTCATGTTGATCTATCAACGAAATTATAAGCGAGTCACGGAGAGTGCAGCGAACGCATTAAACAATTCATAGCATTTCTCAGTTAAAAATAACATGACAACTGATAACAGCATGCGATAAGGATCATCTAATAGCAATAATTGCAAAATATTTCAATACATAACAGCACTTCTGTAAAAAGTTATAGATCATATCCCATTATGCCCCGCCGTTCCGTTATGCCCCGGGTTCCCCTACAAACACTTTCGAAATCGTTAATTTCTTTTAAGTAAACAGCATTTTGAAACCATAATTGCTTTTCGTACTTTTCAATTTTGTGTTGTACAACAAAAAAGTAATGATAATATGTAGAAAAGAGGAAAGAGAATTTTGAAATGCTATATTGATTAAATCATGAGAGAGTCATAAGATTTATAAGAATATGTCTCGCTTGGTCTCATAGTAACTCAATATCTCAAAGCTCCACTAACTAATATAATTAATAAACAATTACTTTTCCTTATTTGTTTTTGTTTTAATTGTAAAAAAAATTTCTAAATTGTGTCAATATTTCCGTGATAACGTCTTGCTTTCTGGTAATCCAAATTTTTCAATAAGTTTTCACTACAATTTGACATTTCCCTCCTAGCTCAGAACGTCCGTCGTACTTTGTATCGAGCGTCGTTTTACACCTGAATCTGGCATACATTATTGGTTCAAGTCCAAGTTCAACATTGGCGTGAGAACGGATTTGCCGGCGATCGAGTATTACATTGGTGGAAAGAGGAATTCATTCGACGGGACGCGAGACGATATACACGCGAATTGCAAGGTCGATGCACCATGCACAATGCGCCTGCAATTGGAGACGCGAAATCGGCGTGTTGGTTGCGCCGGTAGCGACGAATGAGCAAGTTCGAAGAACCTGCAGCCGGAAATATTCGTGATATTAAAGTGGAATTGCCTTCGTGCCCGCATGCCTTGGCACAACTCGCTTTTACCAGTCGAAATAGTACGTTGCATAGGCGTACCGTCGCCAAATATATCTTCTGAGATGGTTAATGAGGTTGTCAAGTATACTTAAACGAGTCTTGCACTAATGAAACAAAATTGTGCACATCTAACAGCTGAATACCGCGAGGTATTGAAAAGGCATTGAAAACAGATTTCGATATTAATTAGACATTTAAATACTTAACGTCAAATAAACAGATAAATAAGAAGGGAATTTATCTTTCACTTTCTTTCGAAAGAATTTTATGTACCATATGTATATTTGTAGCGCAAAAAAATTCACAGGAAAAATGTATCAACGCACTTATGTCGAAAATGAATTAAACACAATATAGCGAAAATCTAATCTTCAAATAATATTTTAAAAAATTATGTCGGAAAATATTTTTTAACATGAATATGCGTAAACTTTTTGGGAAAAGTCAACGCATAATTTATGATTCCCTTGTCGAAGGGTATTCTTGTAGAGAATAGTCAAGGAAAAACTATTCCTTTTATCTGTTACAATGTGATCAACATATTTCTAGCACACAAATCGATAATGTCGCGCGATTCATTTTACTGTTTTCGATGCTGAATGGAGAGAGATCCTCGGTAATTTATCTATTCATACCAATTCTAGCATTCGCGAAAGGTTGGTAGCTGGGGAGTACGGGGGGAGAAGGGGAGATGTGGAAGGAGTCGTGGCGAGCTTCGAATCGCCAAGATGTCGACCAGTTCGACCGTCTTTACTCTCCCGCTCGGTTTTAGTTACCCCGAGTTAAATCGGTATATTTCACCGAGGTGACTACTCGGATTGTGGATGCACACGGATGTTTCATCGGGTGACAGTGGCATCAAGCCAATACCCCCGACGACTCGGTTGAATTGTCACGAAAAGAAACGATCTACGAAGACTTTGTATGCGACCTGCTTTGTGTCGTCATCTGCCAGTCTTCGCGACACTGTTTTCTCCGCTTAAAAGATCGGAGTCCTCGCGACCTAGTTCCTCCTTGTAATATAAATATAAGAGCAGATTGCATGTCTTCATTGGGCTGCTCATTATTTCCACGAGCAGCTTGAGTGTTCGTTATTATCTTTCAGTTAATTGTAGAAAACGTAGATGCACAAAAGTTATTGGTGAAAAGATGAAAGGCGAAATCGACACTGGATAGTAGATCAATGAATGGTACGCGATTAAAAAGGCAAGGAATAAAACATGTCTCATTCCTATAAAAATTGCAGTATTCTTGAACATTTGTTCATGCATTCTTCTCAATTTATTATTAGAGGCAGAATATCAAATGACGTTATTTTAATTAATAATTAAGATGTAGTAAAGCTGCTAAAGTTGTGTGGAACTACTAATAATTTGAACATTGGTTACCGTGCTTTTCGCAAAACTTTCGATTTAGGAATTCCTAGCATCAAAATTAACAACTTTAATACTTTGACAGCTTAATTTACATAAATTACATTAATGTGAAGTTTACAACTTTTTATTCATCAAAATTAACAACATTGCTTATTTGATTACTTAAAGAAGTAATAGCTCTATCAGTTTAGACTTCAAATTTTAACTACGACTACCTTTTTTGTTTAATTTTCAAATTTATAAGATCGGATTGAAAAATGCTGTAAACGTTATACAAAGTACTTCGTCGTTTATAATTTTACTCACCTCCATTGTCTGGGAATGATGCAGAGCTTTGATGGCATTGATCGCGTACTGCTTACTCGCGTAGGTAACGAAGGCACAGGCTTTACTTTTCCCGGTACTGTCTCTCAGCACCGAGCATTCCTCGATCATTCCGTAAGCGCTAAACATGTTCCTAACGTCGTTTTCCGTGAATTTTTTCGATAGCATGCCAACGAACAGCTTGCGCTCTGTAATAATAAGACATAATTTCCATTAGCAATCGTTTGTGTGGTGCCGCGCCGTCATATGACAAGTATATTTCACAGTAACATATGCGATCTCAATAATTCAATAATAAGGCCGGAAGACAGTTGCCTTAAAGATAATGTGTGTTTGTGATTATTCATCCTCGCGTATAATCATGCAATTAGTCAGTGAGAAACGTGTCTGCCTGACTAATCATACAATCGAATGGTTAATATAGCTATGGTCAATTATTATTAGCAAGAACGTATGACGCTACGGAATTGCGTAGTGGATAAATTAAGTGCATTACTCATCCTTGCTGCGCTTTTTACAACTAGGTGTTTTCATTTTATCGATGTTTTATGGTCATCTATGTTTTTTTCAATTGTCGAGAACGACTCGAATGATATATAATCTTCTCTATTTTTTTTCTTACTTCTTTAAGTTTATAACGACTATGACAGTCGGGTGTTATTGATTGTTTCATAAGTAGCGTTCGGCATTTTACGTATATCACTGCGGCAATAGAGTTTTGCGCAGCATTAAATAAATTAGAGTTATTGAACACGAGAAAACAATTTCTTTTACCAAACGTTATGTAAAATTAACCAACTCGCTATTCTTTACACCAAATTCTGGTCGTCTGAGCTTATCAGCGAATTTATTAAAAGTTTTATAAGTGGCATTCATAGCATATTCCATAAACAATGAATTAATAGAACGATGGTTAGCAATTGCCACCTAATATTCTCGGCACGAGAAACGGAATCAATTAATTAAAAAAAAAGAAACGAGTGTTTTGCACGATGTGACGTCGTGCTTAAACTTTGACTCACATCATCTTGAGCCGAGGTCGCGAGTGACATCATGATTTCCCATCTCGCCCACCGTTTAATAAGCGTTTACGGATAATGCGGACGGTGGCTAGCTATGGGCCATTTGGCGACGGCACCGACCACTGGAAGAGGCGACCTGGTCAATATTTGTTTAGGACCGGGAGAAAAGCTTCGCCCAGAGAAAAGCCGCTTATGTAAATTCGGCGTCGCGAGGGATAGGCTAGGCAAAATACTCGGATATACCTCGCGCGTCTATCCTCGTTTCTCTCATCCCCCGTCTCGCGTATTCAATTCTCCTGTGAATCTTCTTGGTGTTAATGCACTGCGCTTATCTTTGCGAGATGCGTGGCGCGTATTAGGAAAATCGAAGCAGAAAAATCCCGCATTATGAAGTCGGGACGTGCGATGCAAATTTCATTTCTACAATATAAATTCATATCATGTGAGATAACAAATACTCTTTTTCACTTGTTACTGGACAATATGATTCTTGAAACTACGAACCAATAAATAGGATTTTTCAGTTGACAGTTATGTACGCGAATAAACTTTGCGAATTGACATTCACCGAGTACTCATAAAATGTACTCCATGTCATGGTAACTTTTCATTTTGTGCGATCCATGATGTACGTATAAATTTGTTTAGGCAAGACTAAATCTGAACTTACATCATCTGAGTCGTTATTTTTGCACAAATGCTGCACGGATATTAGAACAGCGACTCGCTTAATTAATATTTCAGTGTGCTAATAATATAAACTAATAAATATAAAATAATATAAGCCAATATTAATATCGAAACTATGCAAATTCGTCGGTCAATAAGAGGTCTAAACACGACGAGCATTAATATGTGAAAATTGTGGCTCGCTGTCAAATGTTGCGATCCAATTCGCGCGGTATCAAAGGAACGATGCTGCGTTTCAAGCGATGCGCAGCCATACTGGCGCGAATTGAAATCGAGCATACATCGTTCTGTAGTGCGCGCAATGTATCCATAGAAGTTGATATCAAATTCATACGGCGCGATTGCGTATGATCGTGTTTCTGAAAACCACCAATACGCTTTATGTGCAAATAATTATGACCCATAATGCTGATAAATAATGCCATGACTTTTGTAACGCTTATTCTATAACAGAATGGAAGAGATACTGATAATATAAAATATACTTTGAAATTCGTTATCACAGTTTAGACAGTAACAATAACATAAAATATAGCCATCAAGTTCGATATTATATATTTCAATAATAATAATCTAATTTTATAATAAAGTACTGGTATAAAAGTTATAAACTTTTTACCCAATTAGTCTCGATTATTTTAGTTATTTTTTTAAGTTACTTTGTAGCAATGACACTATCACAGCAATATTAATTTTTCAGCAATTGTAAATCCCAAAGTAAAGCTCTTTGACTGGAAATTTGTGTCCTGTATCAATTCGATTCATTCAGATAAAAACTCCTTGTAACCATGAACCCCTTTGCGTTTAACAAGTCGTATTTACAGGGCGATGCCTGAGCGAAACGTCCAAAAACAGAAAATAGGGGAAAAAATATACTGAGGCCCCAGAATCGAGGGAGTTCACCCAGAGGTTGATCCATGCCGCGGGGAAGAGCAGAAAGGACGAGAAAAGCGCTGGATATATCGGTCCAGACTATGGCAAACTCGTCCGCAGTTAACGATTTAATTAATTTCGCAGCCCCTAGCGACCGGATACCCGCGGTTGCCAACGACGGATCGGATTTCCCGCGGAAATCGAATGAAAATTTTAAGCCCTTTCCCTTCGCGAGGAAAATACGGTGTAAAAAGGTAGCCCGGCTGGGGGCGGAAGACAAATTCTCCTCCCTCCCTCAACCCTCCTGCGTTCCAGTGAAACTGCGGCTTTCGCGGAATGTTTATTAAATACCGAAGGTGCTGGTTTATGCCCTTCCCTTTTCCTTCTAAACGGACCGAAATTTTCCGCCCGTTCAGACCAGGAAGGGCGGATATTATCCACGTGCGAAGGTCAACGTATCGAATATGCCGAGATCGATCAAGGGTGGAGTCAGACAGGAAATAAAGAGGACAGATCCGAACTGTCTTAGTATCATCTAATTAATTTATATTACTTTAATTTAGCGAGAATAATACGCGTGATTCACGAGCAAGAGGAAATCACACAAATGATCTTGATCAAGCAGACTGTGAAAGGGAGATTTTTCGGCAACTGATAAAAAAAATAGGGAAAACCGAGAAACGGCAAATTAAGAATGAAGATATTTTTTTAATCAAACGTCTTGTTGAAATTAAGATGATTTAATTGGAATTGATTGATTTCGTCACTCGTAATTTATTTCAAAATGCTAAGAAATTATAGCCAACTGTTGTGTAATAAAAATAGAAAGTAGGCACCTCGTGTATCTTCGGATTTTTATGTTTAATCACCTTTACATCTTGCCCATGAAAATATTTTTGGAAGTGTACCGAAAACTTGAGAACTCTTGGAGAAAGAGCCAGAATTCTATAAAAATTTTGAAAGTAGGATGCTAATTTCACGAGGGTTCCATATATTCCGTAGAAAACAATACATATAGCAATCTATATGCATATATATTGCTAATTCTGGGTAATGCTTCTCCTACTGTGCCATCGGGGTAATGTCGAGCTTATTGTAATCACATTTGGACGTGAGGCTATTAACGTGGAAATAAAATAAGAGCGCGATACAGAGGCACTGGTCTCTGTAACTGCATTTGTAATGTAATTCACGTGCAAACTAGATACGACGCAACGTCGGATCATGCAGTCGGATATGAGATGCAGATCGCGCCTGCCGGAATGTTTGCATTGCACCGAATATTCCGTTAGGTTGTCTGTAGCACGTCGTCGCGAAATACGTGCATCAAAGTATTGCGCATATTCTATCGATCGAGCGCGCGCGCGCGCGCTTTATAAGATTATTTATATAATGAACAAACAATGATATAAAAGTCACATCGTAAGTTGCAAGTGCGACTTTTATGCGTGGCACAAATGTTCGATTATCGATTATAATTCTGTAAGATAGGATGTGTATATAGTTTGACTATTAATTTTTTTATGTAAAAACTTAAACTATTTAATCTTCAGTCTAAATGTTCACACTTGATCTAAAATTTCCGCACAATAAAATTTTTAATGTCAAAAATTTTTATGTACAGGATATATTGTACAATATTATAAGTGTCAAATAAGATAAACGCGACTTACAATATATTTATATGTAATAAGGACATATTATGCAGATCATATGAAATAATATTCGTCAAAGTGTATCAGAAAATTATTGTTAAGATAATGTTGCTCTCGCCTCACGTGGTGAAAAGTAATTAATTTCTATTCCGTGAGATTAGTCGATGTTAATGATAATTTACACTTTCGTCGCATCCGGTAGGAAGCGTTTATTCGATACAAACAGGTGTCTGACTTCCACAAACGAAATGCTTGTGGCCAGTCGGTGGCCAACGCGGTCGGTTGTGTTCGATTTCATCTCCTTCTATGCATCTCACGGGCCCATTCACAACGTGTGCAATTAAATCGCAGCCTGCGAAACGTGATAAGTTTTCCAACGAATTTCCGAGCCAGGCATTTCAAATCGATCTTTGTGCTCCGATATGCAACCAGCAACCTTCCACGCTGCTTACTCGATTTCGCCTTTTTCGCGGCACGATGCATCGAAGCGCGAGACGTTGCGAATGAACCAACGCTCTTACGGGCCCCGGAAAAAAAGACCAGCGCGAGATTAGGATCGTGCATGCAAATGCGAACAAGCGAGGGAACTCCGGAATTTCGTTGAAAGGCGTTTCGATGTGCCTTTCCGAGACGCGGCAGGGGAACGAGTCGCTGCACGATACGCACCGCCGGAAGCGTAGCGTGCTCTTTGATTTCCGTCAGAACTCGTCTTCTAAGACCAATGCTTCGTTTGTCAAACATTCTCAATTATTGTATCCGAATAAAACTTCAAAATTGATAACATTGCAAAGGTAATAGCACAGTCGTCAGAAAATCCTTAACTCTTCGACGAGAATTATTTTTAATTTTGGAAGATTAGCACAATCAAATATGATTGAAACATATCTGATGCACGTAGCAGATACATGTATAAAATTATCTGATGTATAGATAAAAATGTCACCGAAA